TGTACAGATCTCAGAGATCCTGGCCACTGTTCCTGCATGTTCTGCTTGTATGCATACCTTGTTCTTCCATATCAAGTGGTTTTAGTTTCTGACAATTACTAAATACTATCCTTTGTCATGTTCTTGTAGGAAATACCTTCCTTTTTTATTTCATAACAAGCTATGTACTGGTTATTTTTGAAACTTCTAAAATCACTACCATTGAGATAGAAAGGAGGTTTTCAGAATGTTTAATCTTCCTTTATATGAATATAAAAAATCAAATATATATTTATAATATGTTATATATATATTTAAAAGCTTTGTAGCTTAGTGGGAGCTGAGACTCTTCACAGTGAATTTTGTGCTACAACCATTAAGTGTATTATGAAAATGAAGTAAAAAGAAGAGCTTTTATGCCTGTGCACTTGAAGAGTTTGTGAAGGCCAAATCAGGAAGGACTTTTTAAAATGGTGATGGAGAATGAGCAAAATAAGTTGCTCCAAAATATTTGTGTACCTAGTTGCTGTATCACCTCATGGAGTCCACTCAATCTCTGTGATGTCCAGGCAATGATTTCTGGACACATTTTCTGTTTTATGAACTGAGTCTTCCCTGGTCTGAATATTTGCAATGTTATGAACCAAATGTCTGGCTTTTACTTCTTTGGGACCATCACGATCATGGATTTGAGAGCTCAACTGGCGAACACTCCAGCCATTGTATCATGGAATAAGTAGGTTTCAGAATCTTGAAGACCTCCCATGCCAAAGCATTCACTCTTCCCATGGTATTATGAATGTCCTCTTCCTTGTGTGGTAAAGGAGACCTCTGGAAACTTGTGTGTAGAGGACACAAGAGGAGAGAGAAGTTCCTATACTTATATTTTGAATCCAGGATATTTGGATATCCTGAAGTGGGAAAGATAAGATGTGCTATGATTTGGATCTTGAATGTCCACCAAAGGCCAGTATGGTAAATGCTTGTTGACCAGCGTTTGGTATTAGTAGGAAGTGGTGGGGGAGCCTACAGAAGGTGGGGTCTAGTAGAAGGAAGTTAAGTTACTGGGGGTGTGCCCTCGAAGGGAATATTGGGACCTTGACCCTTTCATCTCTCTTTCTTTTCTTTCCAACCACCATGAGGTGATGTGTTTCTGTCATGTGTTCATGTCATGAAATATTGTACTGCCACAGTCCCAAAGCAAAAGGGCAAATGACTATGGCTGACAGTTCTGAAATCATGAGCCAAGATAAATCTTTTCTCCTTTTAAGTTGCTCATATCAGGTATGTTGTCACTGTGACAGAAATATAACTAACAGATAATTTCACTCTGCCACATTATACTCACTACCATCTGCTCTCCTGCTGGCTCGGTTTCCATAAGGTCTTATCATCCACACTGGTGAGGGTATAGATGCCTTTGGAAAACCTTCATTTTACAGAATCCACTTCTTTGGGACACAATTTGCTTGACTTAGATCAATATTACTCTTTGGTCACCCTTTTGGTCCTAAAGCTTTATTGACACTGTCTGGTTCTCAGCCCCCACCACATCTGACTACACTCCTGGTCTTCCCTAAGAAATCTGGTGTCCTGATCTGCCACTCATTTTTGGCCTCTTGAATGTCATCCCTGACTCCACTCCAGCTAAGGTGTTTGGGTACTTTTTATCTTTTTTGCACAGAGGTCCTTTTGGAGGAAAAATAAAGAGAAGACGGTAAGATAAACATAGTTTCTTACTAATTATGTACCCAGCACTATACTTGGTGGTTTACATATATTATCTTAATTCTTTCAACCATTACTGGAGTTAAATGTTATTGACCTTTAAAAGTTATTAAACACACTCTACTTTAGTAGATGTCCAAACAAGTATGAAATGATTATATTCTTATAACCTAATAAAGACATTAACATTTATGAATCAATTTACTAATCAGGAAGTGCTCACATACATCTAACCACTAATGACCTTCTTGAAAATGTTACATATGCATTACGTTTTTGTTGCAGAAAAATATCCCTAAATAACATTTTTTGATGTATTATTTGGTGGATTTTTGTTTTGTTTTGGTTTTGATTTTTGTTGTTTTAGAAAGGGTCTTGCTATGCAGCTGAGGCTGGCCTAGAACTCATTATGTGTCCCAGGCTGGCCTTGAACTTGTGGTCTTCCCCCCTGAGCCTCTTGAGAGAGCTGAGATTACAGAAGTACACCATCAGCCTGTCTATTTTGATGCCTTTTTTGGTGGTTTTTGAACTCAGAACCTTGTGCTTACTCAACAAGTATTCTACCACTTGAGCCACCACCCTCCCCTGCCAGCCTTTTTGCTTTTTCTGAGTTATTTTTCAGATAGAGTTCTCACTTTTTGTTCAGGGCCAGCCTTGGACCAATCCTCCTACTTCCACCTCCCATATAGCTGGGAAAATAGGAACTTACCACAATGCCTGGCTCTATCTGGTATCTTTGAAAAGTAAGCTCTGGCATATAAAATTCTCAGTAAAATGATGCAAATACAGTCATACAAAAAATGTTTGAGACACTTGTGTTTGATACGTTTATATTCCTTGAACTCTTTACTGTCACACACTATTTTTTAAAACATCTTAGGGGATTGGTTGTATCCTGTTGATGTTTTGGAGAACTGTTAGGATACAAACTTGGTAGTCGTGGGCAACAGTGAAACAGTTGGAAATTCAACATGCACTTTCAACATGTACTTAGGTATGGAGACCATCAGTTATGTACAGAAGTATGGAGCAAAATCATGCCAGTAACGTACTAGCCCTCCTAATAGCCAAATGTATGAATGTCCCTCCTAATAGACCAAAAATATTTATAAATCATTGTGGAGAAGGGGAGATATAGCTGTGAGTCCTGAGCAACAAGATCAAGTCAGACACTTACCATAACAAAGACAGAGGGTTTTTGCCTTCATTTATTTTCCTGGCATCTGTCAGGAGATAGCTTAAGTAAGAGTGCTGGCCACATTTCTGTTGTTTTCACTGTAGCAGAAAATTTTTTCAGATCCACAAAAAATATTATTGTAGCACTGCAAAGGGGAGAATTGGGTCAATGCAATTTAAAGGATGAATTATGTATTTTTCAAGGTGATTACAGAAACCTGGAGAGTAACTGTTAAGATGGTCTTAAAGTAGAAAAAGATTTTATAACTACTTTATTCCTTAGAAAATTGGGAGATTTTTATTCTCTGTCTTATAGATAAAATGGCCTTAGGACAGGTTGGGAAGCAATTGCCAAGGGCTCATTGGCCTTAGCTGCAATTAACTCAAAGCCTTTTGTTTGTGCTTCGCCTGAAATTCCCCTTTTTATATCTGAATCCTAACCCCTATGAAATGGAGTCATTAGGCCATTTATAGCTTCTGTACACTTGTACCCCAAACCTGAGCAGTGTTCTCACTAGAAGCTCCTGACATGCACCCACTGGCGTATTTCCCTTTTCCCTATTCTTTTGCCTTTCTTTTCTGCATGAATCCTGATGTGGAATTGCAAATAAGGATGGACTTCCAAGGACAGACAATCTGTGAGAGATAGCTTCTGAAATAACCAATCATATTTGTGCAGGGCACATTGTTTATACATCATATTCTCCTAATAGGATCATTGTTTACCTTCAAACAGTGTGTATCTTAACTGGAGCCTATTCTAGCTTTGGCTGGCTGTGTCAAACTGTCCTGATTTATATTTTCAAGGAAGAAAATCTACTAACTTAATTTGCATTTTATACATCCTTAAAAAAAAAACCTTGTGAGCATATAATTAAATCTTTTGTCAACTACTTACATTATTTAGATTATAGCCTATCTACAAATTTCTCCTATTTGTCCTGAGATTCATCACAAATGTTTCCTCGGGTATGTGAATTTTCCCAGAACTTTTTGCCAAAAGAAGTAAGAGTAATGGAGAGGTGTGGAGGGGGTCCTGCAATCAAACTGCCTGGATTGTATACTGATAGAATTCTGGGCATGCCACTCCCAAATATGATGTCTGGCATGATGAATAATCTAAACTAAAGGAACACGAGAAATGGCAGGTGTGAGAAGGACTTGTCCTTCCTAGAAACAGGTCCTTATGTGAGAGAAAGGAGGTCTTCCTGCACCTGGAGGAAAGGAGCATCCTTATGCCTGAAATCGGGGGCTGCTGGGAGGGGTCTGAGCAATCAGGCTTTGCCACCTGTGGCGCAGATCCCTTGGTCCCAGTGTTTTCTTCGTGGCTCCCACTCTTTGTCACATCTAACATGAAAATGTTCAGGGTTAGCCATTTCCTTCAGGTCCTCATTTCCTTATGAAATCTCTCATCACATACAACTTCTACTACTAAGTAAATCTGTATGCTTTTATCTTGTTAAACTATCTTTTGTTACAGAGTCCCAGCTGAGTCCCCTGTAATCTCAATCCACCACCTGGTTGTGCGAATTCAAACAAGTTACTTAACCTTTCTCTTCTTCAATGTTCTCAAAATTGCAGAAATGACCTTTGCGGGCTAACATGGGGGTTAAATGTGAGGAATTCATGGACACTTGAAGAACAAAACACAGGGACAGGAACTTAGAAAAATGGCACTGAATGTTAGTAATTGTATTGTGTTCTGATTGGAATCTACACTCACCATACAGTTAAGTACTGGCCTTAGGTATTTTTAGGATTGTGCTTTCAGGAAACAATCTGTTCCTAAGTTGAGAAGTCACTGTCAAACCAAAATTTCAGTGAAATGTGTACTAGCTCAACATAGAGATACATAGTTACAGGAAGACAGAAAGTCCTCCTCAGATTTCTCTGAAAATGTGTAAAGCTAATTTGTGTTATTTTTTGGTGGGAGACAAGCAATCTAACTGTCCTGGGTTAGCCCAAAGTGACATGCTGTCAACCTGTAGGTTCTACTACTATGCTATCCGAGCTTGTCTTGAAACCTGAGATCAACTTGAGGTGGCAGCCTAAATCGTGCCTCCACTTCTGTGAAAACTTTCTGATTTTCTTTCACAGTTAGCACTGAAGACAAAAGTTACAAGAGCAAGGAGATTCTGCATCTTTTAATGAAAGATAAAACAACAATATAAACATACACAAATTTACAGAGAAGGGGGTCAACTTTGATACACTTGGAGTAAAAGGTGTTTCTTACTTAAATATGGTATAAAAAATAAATGCAAGAAACATTAACTGAGAATGTAGACAACAGACAAAGACATGACTTGTTTCAGACCAAATACATTGGTGAAATGGAACTTTGTGTGCTAATTTATTATTGAATAAATGTGAAACCATATGTATACTTATTGATATATGTTTTTGTTTCTTTAACAATTCTTCCAGTTTGTGACTGACTGAATTTCCCATGAACTGTGTGTCTAGCAGAAGCTTTAAGAGAAAGAAAGGGGGAAAAAGTTTTACTTCACTTGAACTTTTTAAAAAGGAAAAGACACAGATCTAGCTTGGTAGAAGGAGGAAGAGGGCAGACGACAGTTTGGAATGGAGGCATTGAGATGGCAGAGTCCCTCGGTGATGACAATGCCTTACGTGCACACAAAATAGAACAATTCAGGTCCTTCCTTCATGCAACATCTTGGTCTAACTTTCTCTTCTCCAGGTAAACAAGGACGAGCTACAAAGTATGTGCAGTGGCGCCAGTCTGCTTCCACGCCACAAGATGATCCTTTTAGTAAGACTGAACAAGGCTTGTTAACCTCTTGGACGTGAGAGATTTCCCCTGAGAAAAAATATGAAATGAAAAAAGAAAGAAAGTAAAGTATAATCACTGAAAACCTGCATACTAGTAGCATCTATTTATTGCAGCTGGCTTTTGTGAAAGGGTCAAAACTGAACCCTTTTATGGGTGCATGGTGCCGGGAATGGAACCCAGGACCTTAGCCATGCTCAGCTCATGCTCTGCTTACTACTGAGCTAACCCCAGTCCCCCAGAACTGAGTGAACCTTTGAAGTACATCTGAGATCAAACATCATGATGAATTTTCCTTTCTCCCTCTCTTCCAACCTCCCCCCATGGACACATCAAACAAAACACCTCTCCCTCCCCTTTATCCTCCCTCTCCTCCCAGCCACCTCCTCCCCAATGCAAACAGACTGATGGGTTCACAGCACACATTAGCAAATCATAAAACGTCCATAAACTTTCCATCGAGGCTTAGCAATGAGGCAACAACTAGGTTTCTAACTGCTTATCAGCATGCTATAATAAATCTTAGTGCAGTGCTCTGTCTGAAAGATGGCAATGTGAATGCATTCTGTGAATCAAGTGTTGCATTTATACATATTGAGAAATTAGGGGGTATGATTGAATTAAATAAAATGCATTTTGATGGTGTGACTGGTGGAAACTCAAGGTCAAGTCTATCCTCTACGCAATATAGTGAATGGAGAAACAGATGTTAATTATACATCTAGAGACAAAAGTCCACTTGTTTTCTATTTTGAACTGTAATCATCATCTGTCATTTCCCACTTGTCTTCCTCCAACCACAACACCACTAAGATCTAGTATATTCTGGTTCCACATATTGTGCTAACATATAGAGTACATATTGTTTTATTTTCCTTTCTGTTTTTTTTCTTGAAATCTTGAAAGACATCGTGTTCCTGTTAATTACAAGTATTCTAAAGATATACAAAGTTTGACAGTTTTAATCAAAATACAGATTGTTAATTGGTAGTTTGTTTTATCTCTCATTTCATATGTTGTGGTATTAAAAATAGGTGGTCCACTTCTTTCATTGATTTTTTCCTTCTCAGAGGATAAAATAATAAGGGACAATCAAGAGATTTGGGGGACATATATTATTTTGGAAATAACCTACAGTCACAGCAATAGTCTTGACTTGCTACCTAATGGGGCTCCATGTTTGGTAAAGGGGGAGGGCCATGCTGGGACAGAAGTCATCCCTCATGGCCATAGGCCGGCTCAGGACCACAGATGCTTTTTCCCATAGTTCCCAAGGCCTGCTGTGCAGCGTTTAGTGAGGGCTCCTCCTGGAGGACAGATGGTGGTTCCCTTGTGCCCTCACATGGCAGAGGGGCAAAGAAGCTCCCTGGGGCTCCTTTTATAAGGGCAACAAAACCCATTCATAAAGTCTGCCCTTTCATGGTCTTACTGCCTCCCACGTCCTTGTGCCATCACTTTGGATTTAGAATTTAACACATAGAAACTTTTTGAGGGAGAGAGTAGGGGACACACATTCACCCCACAGCAACCACATTTTGGGCAAAGAAAAATATGTTTAAGAAATGAATAATAATTCCATAATCATTAACAATGCTAATTAACGTCATAATTTATAATCAATAAGCTTTCTTTATACCCCACACAATTACCAAGAAGGGGCAGAGCAGTGAAATCTACTATTTGCTCTTGAGGGAAAGTTCACAGCTCGCTTTCTGCACTGACAGTAGAAAATGTCAAGTTCAATGAAGGTATTTTCCCCTGGAAAATAGTCACTTAATAGGAGGAAAATAATAACAGAAACAGCAGTTTGTTAACAAGAGACCTTACTTTGTAAGCACGTCCGTCCCTGCCTGCTATAGTCTTAGAAAAGACGCTCAAGTGAGACTGTGACTTGTCTACCATGTGAGGAGACAATGAGAAGCTGTCATCTGTGACCCAGGAAGTTGGTCCTCACAGGACACAGAATCTACTGGCATTTCGATCCTGAGTTTCCAACCTCAAGAACTGTGAGAAATAAATGTCTCGTTTACAAGCTGTTAAGGCTAGGGTATATCGTCATAGCAGACTGAGCAGACAAAGTCATACCTGTTCCCCACCCAAAGGATGAGGATAATAGTGGTTCCTATTTAAAATCTTACGTGAACACTGATACAAGTCAATGGCATAAACTGTTCTTAGAGCACTCCACGTACCCGATTTATTTTGGCTATTACTTATTACAGTTCTCCCTACTTATATCCGATCACTTATATGCTCTCTTAGGACTCAGATTCAAAGTCACTCTTCTGACTCTGAGAAGGGCAGAAAAATTGCTAATGAATTGAAAGCTAAAATATACTGTTTTTCTATCCAAAACAATAAATTAACCAACTAATGTTGGAATGAAAAAGCACTTTTCCCCTTAAAAACTATAATATTTCCTATTCTTACTACTGCAGTCTCTGTACTGTTTCTCTAAATGGACACATGCTTGCTTATACATTAATTTTCTGAGATAACATAATTTATCTTTAAAAGGAGCTTACTCTTTCTAATACCATCTGTGGGATTTTGGTTGATGCAAAAGAGTGAATTCTTTTATAGTAGAAGAGTGGAAGAAAAAATGCTAATATAAAACTATCTCTTTTAAAACTACAGGTTAGCATAATTTGGCTCAAAATCCTGGGAAGAAGAATGGAATAGCTGTATTTAAATAAGAAGCCACTTGAAAATCAGGTAGTCATTTTTTAATTGGACTGTAAAAACAATGATTATATTAATAAATTTAATTAAAAAAAAAACAAGGGTCTCTTTCTACATTTTTTATTTTCTCAAATATTCTCAGATCATGAAGGCTACCGGCACATGGACATGAAGTATGGACTTCATTAAAAGTAGGGTGGGGTACAAGTTTAGTTTGACCAGCTCTTAAGTCAGGAAACAATTTGAAAATACTCTTTTATGGAAGCCCACAGAGAAACACAGGCTTATGGTAGACCTGGGGGTTTGTGACAACAGAAAACAATAAGCAGAAATGGGAAAATGTGTGTGCACATCATCGTGGAGACAATGACAAAATTCAGTGTGATGTGGACTTATCAACTATGCAATAGAATATTGGTTTTGTGTATTAAAACAAAAAGCAAACTTGGGCACAAGTAATAGTAAAAAGAACTTAAGTGGCCCACTGTGACCAAAGCAAATCGCAAGTATGCCCAATGGATCATGTGGACTGGGAGTTCCACATTCCTCGCACATAAGTGAAAACCACATAAGTGAAAACCACAAGCGTGGGTGTCTTGTTTACCTGCAGGAAAGGAGAACACCTCACTCTCATTCTAGTACCCAAGGGCAGCTGTCAGTTGTTCACTCTATTAGAAAGTACTCAGATAAAAGAACACCGATTCCTTCTCCAAGGGAAGCACATGCTGGTCTTATATTTGCAGGTCAGGCCAGCCATTTGGAAGAGCCATTTTCGGCAGTTTCTTGGGAGCTGCCTGGGACCAGCCATGCCAATTATCTCCTCATAATTTTTTCAAGGTGAAGAACCTGAGAAATTTTTCTAGCTAGTTCTAAAGTCCTAATTCTAGAAATTAAAAGGACTAAAAACCACCATTACCTATAGCATTCTTTTACCAAATTGCTTCCAATCATTCAATAATTCTCTCTATTTTTAACCACATGACTACATGTGTAGAATCTGAAGGAGAGGATTGGAGTAGAGGTAGACATCTACAGGGAAATACAAATACAGACATTCAGAACAAGAAGCTGCGGGATTCTGTTGATATCTGGTTCATGGAAACACTAGAAAAACAAGTGCATGATTAGTTTCAGGACAAGATAGCCTGGAGATATTAGCTGGCACTGAAAGAATAGAGTGTCATCCTAAACTGTGAGGCAGTGATAACCTAAACAAAGAGATTTTGCCTTCCCCAAACCAGTTCTTTCCTCTCCTAAGCACTCTGTAGAGATTTTATTATAACTGGAGGGAGAGGGGGGAACTAAAAAATCCAAACCAACAATCAATGTGCTTGTTCTTTACTTTCCCTAGTGAGCTATGAATGGTTATTAATTTTAACTGAACTGAAAAATAATTATTTGTCTCAAAGTAATAATAGAAAGATGACAAGAAGGAGCCTAGAATCAATGGAAAGGGATGGTCAGGCCCTTAGCCTGGGGGTGGGGAAGGCAGGGGGAGATGGAAACAACTTTCTACTTTCATCTCCCACGTAGCCTCATCCACAAAGGAAGGAGAAGGAAGCTACATTTGCCTGGGTGACTAAGTCCACATGTTTTATTACTGTCATAAAAAATACACAGCACACTGAACACACTGAGGAGAACTAAATTGTCAGATTTTTAGACGATGGCCATAAAAGATCTTACAGCAAAGAACAGAAGGTTATCACCATCTTTGGGATTTATTTTATAATTTAACCTTTCAACTCTTGCTGTTCCCTGGTAATACCTACTTGTCTGTGTCCTGTCAGAACCTCCACGTCTCCCCATATGTTGCGGTGGGTACATCAATAATTTTATAATGCCTCCCAGGCTGCAGAGGCCACAGTGAGTTATTGCCTCATCATTGATTGATTGATCCCACGTCTGCCCAAATCCCCAGCCCCATGGCTGGGAACAAAGAGCTAATGGCCATCTGATGGTGATGACATGCTGCTGGACCAGAGGTAGAGAATGCTCACGAGAGGCTGAGCTAAAGGATGAGTTCTGTTGGTTCCTTTACTGTCACGTGGAAAAATGCTCTTGCTTCACTTTCAACTACAAATGCCTGGATTTCAAAATCATTTATTTACCTGGTTTCTGTGACCTTTGCTGCCCTTGGCACCAGCTGCCCTCTTAGGCAGGGTGCCCCATCTGTGCGTGTCCTACTCACTCTTCAAAGATGAGTCCTCCTACCTGCATCCCCGGTGAGTCCTCCTAGCTGCCCCTACATCCTGCCACTCTCCTTTCTGAATTCTCTTGTCCAAGAATGTGCATTAGTGCATTTTTATGCTGTCATGTATTATTTTCTAAGTCCCTGACCTGCTGAA